TCAGCAGAACTTCTCTACAAAAGAGACAACCCTGAAAGAACTGGTAGATGAGACAATGTTGATTGCACCTCACAGCAGTATATTCTTCCTCACAGAAGGATTTGGGCGACATGTCCCCACATCTACACAAAACAAAAACTAAAGCAAGGTTTTCAGAATAGAAATTCAAATGCAAAATCTGTAAATATGTTAAAATGTATGTCATATGTAGAGAGAAACTGTAAAACCTCTGAGATTATACCACATTTAATGTTTGACAGTGACGAATGAGCCAGATGGATTTGAGTGAATCCAAGCGGAAGAGTCACCTAATACCATTGGAGATGGTGGCAGAGTTGGGGTCTGCAGTTATAATTAAATGTGGTGAGAGGCTTTTAAACAAGGGAATGATCAGTCATAGCTAAAAGATAATTTTGTGGCTAAATGGAAAGGAAATGAAAAAGAAAGCAGAAAGATATAGTAGAAAGCTTAAAACAATCTAAAATAATAGCAATAATACTCTTCCAAGAGTTATTAAAAGTTTAGAGTAAAGTGAGTGCTATGACTGAGAATTGACCAGGGTAAATTATACTTTGAACTGCAAATCAACAAAACTTGACAGAAAAATGATAAAAGTTTGTGAGAAGCAGGAAAGGATGTTGATGATTAAAAACCATGGTTAAATGTTTAGAGAGAAAAATAAGAACTGGAATAGAAAAAAATAGCTAAAGGGTAAAATCATGGTTGATTTTATTCTGTTTGAATTCCATGATACAATGTTTTCTTTTAGCAATTAAAATTTATCCTTAATTTAGTTCTCTTAAATTGAAATTGACTATTTGTAAATATAAAAATAATTATTTAGAAGAGAGCACGTTTCTTTAATGTCTACATTAAGATGAGATTATAAAATCTAGTATGATTTACCAAAATTATCGACTGGGTATAGTTCACTCAGGGGGAAAATTTGTGCTCTAAGTAAGGTAGACAATAAAACAATTGTCTTTACAACAATAAAACTTTTATAGTAAAACTTTTACAGTTTTTTAAACCAACCTAACAAAGATGAATATATGATGGAAACAGGAGAGAGAGAGAGTAGAAGGCTTGCTAGGAATGGGAGCGAGGGGCAAGTGGATAGCTGGATCTAGACACAGCAACCAAAATATTCCTTGTGATTATTTTCCACAAGTGCCTTAGACAAAGGCAGGCTGGGTGGCTCTGCTTCATCCTTGGCTACCCTGTCTCCACCCACCATTTCACAGCTTTGAAGCAGATGTGAACACCTCACCCAAGAAAAAAGGATGGGTGGCATCTATGGAATGTCATGATGTAGAACAGTAGCTGAACAGTTAAATTATTTATCTAGAAATTCTGAATTTGAAAAATGAAAAGAATGGAGAACCTACAGTTTATTGAAGTCTCAAAATAGAAAAACAATTAAGGGATAAGCTGGATAAGATGATACTTTTGTAATTTGAGCTTGCCATTATGCCCTGTACTAAGAACAAAAGAAACATCAGATCAGGCTGTTACTTGATTATTTCTATTAAAAAAAAAAAACTCTTAGAAAAATTTCTTACATTTTATTTACATCATTTTCACCTTTCCTCACTCTAACCTTTCTCTTTCTCCTTCCCACTCCCAGCGAAATTCATGGTTTCTCTCTTTCTGTCTCTGTCTGTCTCTCTCTCTTTCTCTCTTTCTCTCTCTCTCTCTCTCTCTCTCTCTCTCTCTCTCTCTCTCTCTCTCTCTCTCTCTGTTTAAATATCTATTGTGTAAATATATAAATACAGCCTGCTGAGTCCATTAGCAATTGCTCATATTTTTTTAAGGCTGGCCACATAGTATTGGATAACCAATTAGTGGCCTCATCCCTGAGGAAGACTGGATCTCCCTGTCCCAGCATTCAATAATTGCCTATTGCTGTTCTTCTAGGGTTGGAGCCAGTGAGATTTCCCACACACACATTGGCGTGTAAACTGGTGTTGTCATTGTTCAGGTCTAGTTTTAGCAGCTGTTTTGTTGAGATTTCATGAATAAAACTTTGTTATATACAGAAGACACAATCTCACAGTAAAAGTCTTGGTGCCCTGGTTCTTAGAATCTTTCTTTTCTCTTTTCCATAATTTTTATCCAAGCTCTATGTATGAGTGTTGCATTGTAGACGGATCTATTGGAGCTGAACACCCCAGAGTTAGTTGTTCTCTGCATTTTGACCATTTGTTTCCTTCTGTAATGACCTATCTAATTCAGGGGTTTTCAACCTTCCTAATGCTGTGATCTTTTAATATAGTTCCTAATGTTGTAATGACCCTCAACCATAAAATTATTTTTGTTGCTACTTCATAACTATAATTTTGCTACTATTCTGAGTCATAATGCAAATGTCTGTGTTTTCTGATGGTCTTAGGCAATCCCTGTGAAAGGGTCATGGGATCCCCAAAGGAGTTGTGACCTACAAGCTTAGAATCATTGCACTAATTGCTGCAAAGAGAAGCTATTTGATGATAAATGAGAGCTACATTAATTTGTAGGTATAAGGATGTCTTAGTTTGAGTTACCATTGCTATAATGAAACACCATGATTAAAAGCTAGTTGGAGAGGAAAAGGTTTATTTGACTTATGCTTCCACATCCATAGTCCATCATCAATTCTGAAGGAAGTCAGGAAAGGAGCTCAAACAGTGCAGGAACCTGGAGCAGGAGCTGATGCAGAGGCTTTGGAGGAGTGCTGCTTACTGGCTTGCTCCACATGGGTTGTTCAGCCTGCTTTCTTAGAGAACCCAGGACCACTAGCCAGGGATGGAGCCACCCATAATGGGCTGGGCCCATATATATTTATCACTAATCAAGAAAACATCCTATGGGTTTTTGTACAGCCTGATCTTAAGGAGGCATTTTCTCAACTGAGCCTCTCTCTTCTCTGATAACTCTACCTTGTATCAAGTTGACATAAAACTACCCAGTACAAAAAATGTTTAGAATGCACTTAGGAATTTTATTGGTGTAGGCAAGTGGCAATAGTAGACTCCCAATTAGGTTCCATGTCCTCACTATTCATGAATAATTGGCTTGGTTTATAGTATCAGACATGAAATCCTCTTGCTGAGTGAAACTTAAGTCCAATTAGACAGTTATTGGTTACTGTCATGATATGAATCCCACTATTGCATGTTTAATAATAGTTTGCCATATTAGTCATAGCTGTGGTTCATAGTCAGCACAGATGTATAAGACATTTAATTGCTTTTCTCTTTGGCAGTTTTTATTAACACCTTCTGGTATTATGAAAGCTAGTCTTCTGAGCTTGGTCAGACGCAGATATATTCTTCCTAATTCTGTGTCTGAAGTGCTTGGTATCCTTAGCAATGGGAGGCTTACTTTTGAATTCTGTGAATCAGCCTAGGGAAACATCAATAGCTTTTATTGTTTTGGGAGTTGCTTGTACACCTATAACCAACAACTTGACATTTCTCACACCTGTTACTTAGATTTTGCTATACAATCTGTGGCTCTTTCAGGGAGAATTATCACCCCAAGAGACATAACTATTTCATGTACTAATTTATATGTGTGTGTGTGTGTGTGTGTGTGTGTGTGTGTGTGTGTAATTTTAAGTAAACAAAATAATATTATTTGTTGGGAAATATTATTTTAAGGTATGTTACTTTTGTTTATGTTGCATTGGTTTAACTCTGTGAAGCTGTATTACTGTGCATGTCTAAAATGCCTGATGGTCTAATAAAGAGCTGAACAGCCAATAGGGAGGCAGGAAAGCGAAATAGGTGGGTCTGGTAGGCAAAGAGGATAAATAGAAAGAGAAATCTTGGAGGAAAGAAATACAAGTATCCAGAGAAGAATGACATCAGGGACCAGACACCCAGCTACAGAGCAAGAGTGAGAGTACGGTTTACAGAAGTAAGAGAACAGGAAAAACCCAGAGGCAAAAGATAGGCTAATTTAGTTAAGAAAAGCTGACTAGCAACAAGCCAAGCTAAGGCCAATTATTTATAAGCAAGAATAAGCTTCTGGATGTGATTTATTTGGGAGCTGGGTAGTGGGTCCCCAAAAAAAGCAAAAACAACCAACAACAATGATTTCCTAGAGTTTTTCAAATATCCTTATTGTTATGTATTCCCCCCTCAATTTCTATATTGCTTTCTGCTCCCCTCCCCCAGGAAAGCCTCTTCCTGCTCTTCTGCCCATGTTCTCCTTTATAGCACTTATATCCAATCATCCCCCTCTTTAAAGCTCCATCTGGCCCATTCTCCCATTTTACTTTCCTGGTTTCTGTGGTTACACCAGGTTACACACTCAAATATAAAAATTTAGAGCCAGGAGACACAAATGAGAGAGAACATGGGTTTTGGTTACCTCACTCAGTATAATATTTTCTACTTCTATCCATTTACCTACAAATTTCATGGTTTCAGCTTTCCTTTCAGCTAAATAATATTCCATTTATAAGTACTGCATTTTTATCATTATTCATTCATTGGTTGAAGAGCATTTAGGTTGTTTCCATTTCTTTTTTATTGTTTTTTTATTATTATTATTCTTTATTTTGCAATACTATTTGGTTCTACATAATAGCCACAGATTCCCTTGTTCTCTCCCTTCCAGCCCCCCTCCCCTTCCCCCAGCACACCTCCCATTCCCACCTCCTCCAGATCAAGGTCTCCCCCAAGGACTGGGATCGACCTGATAGACTCAGTCCAGGCAGGTCCAGTCCCCTCCTCCCAGATTGAGTCAAGCGTCCCTGCATAAGTCCCAGGTTTCAAATAGCTAACTCATGCAGTGAGCCTAGGACCTGGTACCACCGCACAGCTGCCTCCCAAACAGATCAAGCCAATCAACTATCTCACCTATTCAGAGGGCCTGATCCAGTTGGGGGCCCCTCAGCATTTGGTTCATAGTTCATGTGTTTCCATTCATTTGGTTATTTGTCCCTGTGCTTTATCCAACCTTGGTTTCAACAATTCTCGCTCATATAAACCCTCCTCTTTCTCACTAATTAGACTCCCAGCTCTCCACCCGGGGCCTAGCCATGGATGTCTGCATCCAGATTTCTCAGTCCTTGGATGGGGTTTATGGCTGTTGTGAATAGAACAGCAAAAAGAAAACATTGCTAAGCAAGTATTTGTGGAGGAGGATGTCAAGCCTTTGGGCATACTGAAGGAATCGTATAGGTGAGTCATGCAGTACTTTTAGCTTCTTGAGAATTATCCACATTAATTTCCATTGTGGTTGAACCAGTTTGTAAACCCATCAGCAGTACATGAGGGTTCTCATTTCCTCACACCTTTGCCAGCCTTTGCTCTAGATGGTTTTGTTGATCTTAGTTAGTCTTCCTGGGGTAAAATGAAATCTCAAAGTTGTTTTCATTTGCATTCTCCTAATTGCCAAGGATGATGAACTCTTTTTGAGTGATTTCTTAGCCATTTTTATTTCTTCTTTTGAGAATTTTCTGTTCAGAACCATAACCATTTGAGTTACACAAAGTCACAGTATTTTTTAAAAAGAAAACTTTCCAACTGGTAAAGAGAAAAAAATGTGGAAATCCACCAAGGTCAGCTGAATAGAACTAATGGCAAAGCCAATGTGAAGGTCATAGTACTCCCTTTACAAAGCTATGGTGTGAAGAGCAGCTGTGTGACATCTGTTGTTTTTCATTCTGCAAGATTTTGGTTTCCATGTTCTTTACTATTCTGAGAAAACTAATGTAATATTCCCCAAATAAATTAAGATCAACTTGGCTTCTTGAATGTAAACTTCTATTAGAACTGAAGACTTGGAAAAAGAATAGTGAAAATCTTCCACTGGGATTCTGGGGTCAGTGTATGAAGGTGTAAGTGCTAGGATTTATTTGGCTGTTGTCTCCTATTCCTGTTGAAAATTGATTGTCCTCACCTTGACACTGTAATTGTTAAGTTCATGTGAAACCCCAAAATGACATTTGATCATCTTTATTTTATGTTCTGTTTGTAACAACTTATTCCTGTCATTACTGCCAAACTTAAACCTTATTCTCCTTTGCTTGTAGGGCTACTCCTGATTCCAAGGATTCTGAGATCAAATCTCAGCCTGCCTCTGATTACTGTGGTTAATTCTACTTGTTTATCTAAATAATTACAAAATATCTCTTATCTTTTAGAATATTCTAAGAATTAGTAACTGTAACATGACTGTCAATGGATATTTTATTTTTGTAGCTATTGATATTAACTTTAAAACATTCAGCTTTTTCATTGTCTCCAAAATTGAAAGAAGGAAAGGATGTTGGGTAAGTTATTGTGTTTCTGCAGAGAAATCAACCAAAGGGAGCGTTAGGGAAGTAAAATTCCTACTTCTCAGGTATCATTTGGTAGTGATTTCTTGTCATTCAGACACTAAAAATGAAGCATTTATTGTAGAGTATATTCTATATAATAATTCATCTTAGAAAATTGCAGCCAAGCTCTTTATGGACACCTTTTTTGCTAAAGAGTTAAATAATGTTACAAATTACTAAGAACACAAATACCATCAATTTTTAGCCTTGGTCTGAATATTAGAGAGAAGGCATAAGGCAGAAGTCAATTTAATGAGTTTTCATTGATTTCCTCTTGAAGAGCTAGAAGTAATTAATTGAGAAATCCAAAATTTTTCAAATATTTTAGACACTGTATTTTAAAGATGGTGAATGAAAACAATTTACCTCATAGAAAACTCTATCTTTGTCATGTGGCACAGCATGTTGATTATACAAGGAAGATACTGAACTGTTTTAAATATATATTAAAGAGTCTACACATGTAAATTGTTGCTTTATTATATGAACTTTAAGTCCAGTGTCAGAATACCCAAAATGTACAAGTGTATCTGTTTATTCATAGTGTCATTTGCATTAAACACATGTCACAAATATGATTACCAAACCTAACCTCAGGTCTGGCAACACATCTGGCCACAAGTCAAATCCACCCGAAAGGACAACTGGATAGTATAAAATTGTAAAGTATGTTTTCTTAATGCTCCTAAAAGATAAATTTCATAAATACATCAATTAATGGAAAATCTTTCAGAATGACTCTTCAAATAATCAGTTTTGAAGGAAATGATACCTGTTTGTATGAATATAGTATAATGCTTGCTTAAAAAGGCAGTTAATCTTGACACATATAATAATGCTTGCTTAAAAAAAGCAATTAATCAGAATTGAAACTTCATCTTGGTGGATCTTTCCTGTGATAAGTATGTAATGCCCTTCTTGATCTCTTTTGATTGATCTTAGTTTGAAGTCTATTTTGCTGGATATAAGGATGGCTACACCTGCTTGTTTCTTAAGACCATTTGATTGGAAAGTCTTTTCCCAGCCTTTT